AATAATAAAATACCTCACAAAAAGCCAGTGTCTGTAAGTTGCTCGAATAATAAACCTAGAAGGGTATATAAACCTTGGTGGAATGATAGCCTTACAGATTTGTGAAATGATGTTTGTTTTTATGAGAAACAATGAGTAACGGCATGTGGTAGAGCAAATAAATCAGCTTTAAAAACTTTATACTGTAATTAACGAAACACATTTGATAAAGCTGTTCAAAAATGCAAACGTCAATATTGGGTTACATTACAACATGATTTACTTCAATCAGTTGAAACTGATCCCAATAAATTTTGGAAAAGCATAGGTAAAAATGGGGTAGCTAGTAAGAAAATTAACAAGATACCCATGGAGTATGTAAAAGATGATGGGTCTATGGAAAATGATACTTATAAAGTTTTAAATCATTGGAAATGTACCTTTAGTAACATTTTGAATGATGATTCATGTACAAATTTTTGTTACACTCCAAGTAATGATACATCAGAGAGTACTTTTGAAAATAACATTTCTGTTTTAGAGGTAATAAAAGCAGTTGAAAAAAGTAAAAGAAACAAAGCTCCAGGTTTTGACAATATTCCATATGAAGCGTTCAAGAATGATATTGCCATCTCTTTTTTGCATATACTTTTTAATGTATGTTATCAATCTGGAAAGACATCGTCAGATTGGGGTAAAGGTGTGTTAAAACCAATACCTAAGCCTGGTGTGGCATGTCTACGACAACCATTGAATTATAGAGGGATAAATCTATCATCAAACATGTATAAATTGTATTGTTCTATACTTAATGAAAGGCTGTCAATGTGGCTTGATGAAAATGAGAAAATTGTAGATGAACAAAATGACTTTCGAAAGAAGCGTAGTACGGTTGATCATATATCATCTCTTTCTTCTTTAATTGAATCACGTAAAAAGATATAACAATCCACATTTGTAGTCTTTATAGATTATAGGAAGGCTTACGTTTGTGTCAATCAAACTATATTATTTGAAAAACTTAACAATATTGGTGTTAAAGGAAAGATGTACAATGCTATACAGCCAATTTATAGTAATGTTTCTTGTTGTGTGAAAGTGAATGAAAATTGTTCTGATTGGTTCAATGTGAATCTTGGTTTAAGACAGGGGTGTATTTTATCTCCAATATTGTTTAATTGTTTTATCAATGATTTAGCTATCAAAATCAAGGCTTTGGGAATGGGTATTGACCCAGAAGATGGTGAAAAATTGTCACTTTTACTTTTTGCTGATGATATTGTATTATTAGCCTCTAATGAACGTGACCTCTAAGAAATGTTAAATTCCCTATCAAATTGGTGTATTGAAAATAAGATGACTATAAATGATAAAAAAAGTAATATTGTACATTTTAGAAACGTATCTACTAGTAAGACAGATTTCCAATTTTCATGTGATAATGCTAGATTGGATATTGTAGATAAATATGTCTATCTTGGCTTGGTTCTTACTGAACATTTGAATTATAATATTACTGCCAAATTTGTATCACAGACTACTAGTAGAGCGTTGGGTGTTTTAAATTAACTTTTAATAGCAAAATTTTAGCTTTTAGTTGGGATGCCTCATCATTTATATAAAAAGCTTTATGACTCAATGGTGTGGCCATTTATAGCATATGGTGCTGCCATTTGGGGGACTATGAAATTCTCTTCTATAGAAGCTATGTAAAATCGCGCTATGAGATTTTTCTTAGGTACAAGAAAATATACTCCAAGCTCTGTTGTAGCCGGTGATATGGGTTGGGATCCAGTTTATGTTAAACAATTGAAATGTGTTGGTAACTTTTGGTGTAAATTGTCAAATATGGATCCAAACAGAGTAAATTTCAAGATATCAAAATACTGTTATAACCTTGCAAGTTGAAATTGGAGCAACTGGCATTTTAGGATTAAAAACCTCTTTATAAAATTTGGTTGTGTAGATTTTAGTGACTGTACATTACCACAGAATAAAAATCTTGTTGTTGATACAATTGGGAAGAATGCAATGGATGTATTGATAGATGAATGGACAAGATCAGTTCATTGTAAAATTTTAGTAAATCTGGTGATTTGGTAGAAAACAAGTTAAGGTTATATCAGTTGATTTTTGAACAGGAAGCATTATGTCAATAAAATTATGTCTTATCGCCATAGTTTCAGCATTGGCCTAAATTTTAGATTGTGGTGTTGCACCAATTCAGAAATTGGAGATTGGCATATACGAAAAGATTTTAAATGTTTGTAACGGATAGAGTTATGTCCTATCTTTGTAATAATGGCGTGGAAGATTGAGAATGCACATATTATTGCATTCCCCCCAGTAACTATTATTTCGAAATGAATTATTTTGAAAAATTGCTTTACTGAAAAAATTGCTATTTGTTTTAATCTTAAAATGATTATTCGCAAGCTTTGCTTCCCCTTGTCAAATTGATGATATTGTCAAATATACTGAAAATCCTTGCTACGAAATACTTTATGTTGTTTAGAAGAGATTTTTTGTACCAATATCTATATATTTTAATTGCTTCATTTTAGGTGGAGGGTGACGATACACATTATTAACTTCAAAAAACTTGAAGTTGATGATGTGTGTGTCTCATCCCCTGCCTAAATTGAATATTTTAATAACAAAAGAACTTGTATAAATGTATTTTTAAACTAACTAGAAAATTTTTTCTTCCTGTTTTTTTTTATCACCACTGACCAGTCCATCCATGGTCTGACCATGAGTGATATATGATTTTGTAAGACATTTTTTATTATGCGCAATAGTGCCACATTTACAAAATTCAGTATTTTATTAACAAATTTCTTATGGCAGATTTTAAGTTGAGGGCAGTGGTTGTTACCAAACTTTTAGAATGTATAAAGACAAAATATAATAAGTATGTATAGATGATTTAAGAACATTTATAAGGAGACAACCATTTAGGGTTTAGTACAGTAATGAGATTTCATTCTTCCATTTTAATATTAACAACCCTAATGTAATTACTCTTACAGTTATGTTGTAGATATAAATATTAGTACATTTTAATTATTTTAAGCTTGGAATATGCTGTATTACTTATAAATGTCTTTAACTCTTAGAGATATTATGATATGTTTATATTGACATGTAAAGGTGTAAAATTATGTAAATAAGGGAGGTTAATCTACAGTAGATATTATAGATTTCTGTAATGTGGACTGTGGAGTTGCCCCTCTTATAAACTATAACAGTCTGTTATAATTCTTAAAAGAATGGCTGTACAATTTACTGTATGTATATTGTTTTAATTATATATGTATGTATAGATCAGACTATAATAAAGAATAATAATACAATGATAAATTGATAAAGATGTATTGCCTGAAATAAAGGTTTTAAAAACACAGACAGGTGACATTTATCAATGAATGTCTGAAAATACCATTCTGTTTGCATTGCAAGAAGAAGCGAGGGACTATTTCACGACATCCAACACAGTTATTTAGTACATTTTTAATTTTTGAAAAGGGGTTCACAACAATTACGCTACAGTGTATATGGGATAGTTGATTTAAGATGAAATATTGTGGTTTATTAATTCTCTCTTAAAAGTCGATAAAGTTGCCGCCTTTCGAAGTTACATGCACCCCAGACAAGATGTCACTAACCCTTTTTCTAGCATATCAGACTGGAATTTCTGTTAGTTTTACCCATGCCGGAAATTTCATCTGGCATGAGGGGTGGGTGCCAAATGAGTCGCGTGCTATACAATGACTTCATTTGAACGCATTTTATATATGTATCGAGTTAAAATGACATTATTGCGACGCATTTTAAAATCGAATAAGTGACGTCGTTTATTTGACGGATGTGGTGACGTCAGTAAAATGCTACGTGAATAAACTGAATCATCGTTTTGCTTAACATATACTCCTATATACTTGTATCTTAGTACGTAAAATTATTAACGACGAAGCAAAAGTTTTATTGTTCAAGAGTACCGTGTCAATTGTAAGCCATCTTAAGTACATGTAACGACTTGTCGCAAGAATAGACATATACAAGTACGTATGTCTTTGTCAATTATGACACCAAAGAAATGGTAGCAAATTTAGAGCACGCAGTATCCGGATACAATATATAATCGTTAGGAGTTTTCCTAAATTACCACACCCCGTCTGTTTTGCTAAATCCTGACAACGTTGATTGAAGATATATAGAAATAATGACATAATGTTTTGAAGAAAAGAAAAACATATACATGTATATACATTTATCTCATTCAGTTCATTTTATACTGTAGACGTAAATATGGAATAAATTAAAGTAACAAATCTGTACAACGTATATCAAAATATTGAAACCTGAATTGTTGATATGATGCAAAACATTGCAGCAGTTTGTAATGATTGTCAGTCAAACCATGTTAATTCTGGTTATTTCATCCCCTCATACATCTGCAGAAGAAGACATGTTGGGGGTGATTTGCAAGATCAAGCAAGGAATCTACATCACATCGATTGCATGTAAGATATAAGGTTCAATAAACATACAATTTAAATACTGCCTAAAAAAAAACTATGACAAAATTTCCTTAAAGCAGCACGCTCCAGGTTTTTGCGCTAATTTTCAAGAAAATTTTGAAAAAATGCTGGTCAAGCTTCGGAAAATATTCGTTTTCTTTACGAAAATTTGTTCTGGAATAATGGTCGAAACGAGTGTCATCTGATTGGTTTTAGGACGGCGTTATTGACATACATAGTCATATACGTTTTACCCAAAAATGTGCGTACATGTAGAGGATATTTAGTTGTTTTGGGTAGATATGCTATGTTATATCACACCAACAATAAGATAATTATTTTTCACTAGCGCGTATCACACCTGGACATGTTGATATTTTATCACGATGTTGTGTGTATGCATAGCATATAAAAAAACAAACAACAAAAAGAAAAAACAAAACAAGACAAAATTATAATATAGTAGGGACTATTTTACGTGGATTGTATATGCCGTATGAAATGTGTAAATTGTTTCCTTTTTTCACTTCACAATATCTTTCTTTCAAAAACATATTCATTTTAATATCATCCATTTCCCGCTTCTTTTAACAACTTAAGATGTCATATACTCAGAGCCACTTGTGACCAAAACTGGCATTTTCAATAAACGAGTTTAACAGCAATAATATTATAATAAAACAAGGCAAAATATTTCAGTTTATTTTTTCCCTTTAATTTTATATATAACAGGACGTGATTTATACAATTTCAAGTGTCCTTACACTCATCCACTAAACAGAACAGTTGTCTCTTATTATTTAGTTTCCGTTAAATAAAGCAAAGATACACACGTGATGTAATATCTTCCTTATTCTATTTTCATTAAAGTGTTTATTCTGATTGATATAATGTATATCAGCGCCTAGATGTTACTACATGTATATATATAAATAAAGAGACATACTTGGAAAACATCTTGACACTGGAAATAAAATAACAATCGAAAGAATAAATGTGATTATCGTTCAGTAAGCCCTGAAAGTGTTCCCTGTTGCAAGGACAATATATCAAGTGTCGTAAGAACAGATGAAATTAGATTTGTCAACTCATAAATTACCTTGTAATTCACTTTCTTATAGTCTTAAAATACGTTTGAGCGAGTGTCTGACAGGGGTTGAAGCATAACAGAAAAGGTTTATCAGCGCAGTTGTTACTTTACAAATGAGTGTAACTGCGGAATAACGTCATAATTGAGATGGAAAAAAATATTAGTGCAGCAATTTTCATTGAATCAAGAAACATGATTAAAGAACAAGATACACAATACATTTATAAGGAAATTTACGGAATCGAAAAATTAATACGTAGGCCACAAAAAATCGACAAAGCTATGTTAACAACACTATATGTGATATACTCTAAGTAATATGGGTTTTATATCACTAAATAGAAACCCAGACTTTCATTTATAAGCATAAACTTTTACAACGATTTGACAGAGTATTTCTTGCATGTCAGACTGGTGTTTCCATTAATTTTACTCATGCCGGATATTTCATCTGTCATGGGGGTACCAGATGAGTCGCGCGTATACAATGGCATGCTTAGGATGAAGTTATTTCGCCGTTGTGAATGAATGTGTAATTTCATATGTTTCTGTACGAAAACAGTTATGGGTGTACTGGTGTAATGACATAAATTTCCATAGAAAATTGGTTTATTAAGGTCAAGAATTTAAAAAAAAATAGAATATGGCAGAATATGCATATAAGTTTGACCAGATTATGGTTACCTTAAACCTGCATGGTGGTGATTGGAAAAGCGCGTGCTATATCATTAGGAGATGTTGGCGTCAACTTTGACGTCGCGTTTCTACGATTACGTCATTTGACCACTATGTTGGAAATATCATGTCACGGCTCATATATTTTTCAATCCCTTCCTAAGTTTATTTCTCCGCTATCTTTTGAATGTTTTTTTTTTCGTTTTAATTGCCCCAGCTGATGTTCATCAAAATTTCGTTTTTATTTTAATTTACCTCAGAGTTGATTGTATGAAAATAGTTAGTAAAATGTTACATATACAAAAAAATGAAACTAGATTATTAAAGAAATAACATATTAATATACAAAAATGTACAGTGAAAATCTTATTTGCAGCAAACTGATTACGATTTTAAATAATATCCAAAATGTTCTTAAAAATGTCAAATGATTATAAAGTATTTTCTATAATTCAAAGAAAAACCAATTTTCATTCGTAAATTACAAACCAAGAGTTAGAACTAAGACGGTAACAAATGAACATGGCATTAGAATTTCTGCATGTGCTCTATTGCCCGAGTTTATAGATTCTGACTGACCATCAAGTTTGTAAATTGTAAGCTTTTCTGTTTGTTGAGGTTCTTCCTTTACTTTGAAGACATAGTAGGATTTTATCAATACCTCTTTTTCATGTTTAAATGCTGAGTACTTTTCAACCGATAATCCATACACATTTGATATCTCAAAGAGAATTCCCTTTTGGCATACGTTGTCACCAAACTGTTTAGCCAAATCTTGAAGTAATGTGGTACTTGTGATCTGGTTAAATTTGAAATCACGTCCTTTTTCAGGACGCTCATTCAGTGCTGTACATCCCCTGTATACAATTTTATGCTCCGTAGGTCCGAGAATGTCAATACCCCTGTTAATTAGATCACCAGATCGTTGCCAGATATCAGTCTTTACGGTGTAGTTGTTGCGCATTTCCTGGTTTAATATTCTGTAAAAAGGACTTAGTTGTGTGTATAAGTTGACAAGTCCTATTGCATACTTTCTATCCATGGTTTCATCAGAGAATTGCAACATTTTTTGTTCCGCTGTTTGGACGTTTGATTTATAGTCTTTGAGATCTTGAAACAATTCTTTTACCTCACCAGAGTATCCGTCATCTTCCGTATCTATCGATTAAAAAGCAATTGATAACTTTAGTTGGAAACAGGTTCTCGGAACACAACATTAAAGTAATAAAGTAAATGTAAATAACTATTTTCTGTCGACAAAAAGACTAAAATTTATATTGTACACAATTATCGTCTTATTATTATTGTCAATTGTTGAACAGTGATTACCAAATTCAAAAAGAATACAAGCGAAAATAAACATTTCGTTTGGTTTAAATATATATAAGTGACTTCGATTCCGGCAATACATATAACAATACTTTTATTGAAGTACAAAATACTATAAAAACACATCCATTACCAAAAATACATACCACTTTGTACGAGTCTTAAAAAACAGCAAATGATGAAGAAAAAAATGCACTTCATTTCCCATATATTGAAACCTTCCTTCTAAAACACTACTTCTGTCCGTGAAATCTGTTAACGATTGACTGCCTTTATCACGCTCTTTACGCTATTAAATAAGGATATATTCTAAAATTACTATTTCCGCTTATTTAAACAGCGGTAACTGATAAAGCATTTTGAATTAAATAAAACGCAAATTGTACACAATGAACTGAACAAAACTTTGCGACACGCCAACCTTTTCTGATAGACCTGTTTAAAAGTAAGAATATAAATTATGAGTTTTTCTGTGTTTCATTTTCACTTCTTGTCAGACAGACCTGGTCATGTTACACACGTAAAAAGTTAGAATTGCCTACATGACTAAGACCTAAAACATTAACAGTAATAAAAATGAAAACAAAAATAATTGCTGTAAAAATGATTAAATGATTGTTATAAGATTCCATTTTTCGAAAAATTGGAGACACGTTATTTTTCATTGATTGCACTAAGCAATTATTCAAGTTTCCGTATATATAATCTTTCAATAAGAAATTATGGATAATCTGTTAATTGTAAAAATACACTTTAGGTAAACAAAATCGCGTCATTTTTATAAGAATTATAATCGACATTAGAAAACGTTGAACATTATTATATTACAAAATAAGACGTTTAAAGTGTACTTAATATACAGACATTTAATGCAGAACTAAACTTTAATTTATCTAAACTTCGCATGATCTTTAAACATGGTAACAAGCGAACATAATAGGGATCACCGTGCTCGTTTCAGCTCATGGATACCTTTAACAGTTTTCATCCTGTCTTGTAAAGTTATGAATGCGTCAGATGTAAATTGACTCTCAATAAATGTAGCGAAGTCCATCAATTCAATCAAAGTTTACATTAAATAAGATTCTAAAGAAAAACCGTTTGTCATGACACAAAATATCAGGTAAACATGTATATACATAGGAAGTGTCATGTCTTCTTGTTTCATTCGCAAACCTGCCACGTTTAAGATATTTCTAAGTTTACATCTCATTTTTGTATCAAAATAGGCACATATGAAATAAATTAGTCAAAGAGTGATATTGACTTTTTGTCAAAATGTAAGCCAATTTTAGATCGTTTTTGTCATCATTTGCAGCCTCGAATTGGTACTATTGCTTGAAGTTTTTAAATACTTTATCAAAGAGATGCATTGCACGTCTAGTGGTAGCGACAATCACTGAACTAATGTTTTACGGGTTCTTCTTTAAATTTAGCAACAACTTGATTCTTCTTGAATTGAGAATGATAAAACTAGTTCCTTTAAGACGTTTAACCATCTTGGAAGATGTATACTATATCCAACCAAAGTCATTGTTTTATCTTTATCTATAGTTATATAACAGACTTAGATATAAGGCAATAGTGTAAACCTGTACCGAAATGGATTATAATTTTATACAGGCATTATACATAAGCCTTCCGCGACAAAAACAAGGTTAAACATGAAAATAAAGTTTAAATTTTTCATCTATATCTCGTAAATGCACCCGTGGGGTCAATACACTTTTATTTCTCATTCTTCTTAACTCACATGGTTCAATTAACATGAAGCATAGACGAAAGATTTTATTCAGTTTCAAATCTGAACCAAGTTGTTGCGCATCAAATAAATGATACTTAACTTTTGTCAAAAAGTCTTTGTTTGTTCAAAAGATTTTGTATATATCTACGTACAGATTATCGATAAAACATCTACAATTTTCCGTTATTGAGACCTGAGTATTTCTTTTGATTTTGTCGCGTCGAGGAAATAGATGACAAAAAAACTACGTACGGAAGCCGATTTGTTTTCTTTAAAATAAAAATTTGACAAAACTATTGCGACGTACGCGCGGATGGGGCAAAGACTAAATCTAAATATTCATATAAGGGGCTGACTATACTGGACTTATTTAATTATTTCTTGGCGTAGTCAGGCGTTGATATCTCCCTGGTAGCGGGTAGACTGAAGACTCTCCCCTGGTAGCGGGTGAGCGCACGTCACGATCGACCGAGCCGACCAGAAAATAACAAAAAATATTTGATTCTCAACAAGTAAATTCATTTAAGGAGCGAATAACAATTAATAGAATTAGAGAAAAACTTAACAAATATTTAACTTTTTAACAGTATCTTAACTTCCTAAGCTGTCAGACCTCGACGAAAATGGCAGTGTGACAATTTAATAAAAGCTCTTAAATTTAATTTCCTACAAAACTTTATTATGGAAAAATTTACATAATCGGCAAAAATGATGCCAGAAAGTTCTTAGTACCTAAATTTCTGAAGAAACCTGAAAAAATTATCAAAAATATTTATTTAAATTCTGAGAGTAATCAGAGCGTGGCTGCTCTCTAGGCAACCTGGATCGCAACTGAAGTTTAGCGTTGATTTGACCTGGGGCATATGCGCAGATGGTCCCTTTTGAGCCGATGCTGGACATGCGCCGTTAGTAACACTGACCCGGTGAAAAAGGGGTCCGCAGAAAATTTATGATCCGCATAATGAAA